GAAGCAACTTTGTAATAAGCAGGGCAATGTACATGGTATGTCTTTGTTAAAAAGCAAGCAACACACAGGTAACTCATGAACACGCTTTTTTTACTCAGACTCAACTCATCTCTGCGTATGGTACACTCCTGTACACTCAAAACCTATACTAGTGCCATCCGCATGACGAGTGGTGACACCACATCTCGCTCTCTTTAACTTAGTATTCACTTATGTGTACCAATGTTTCAAACATGAACTTAACATTATCTCCTGAATTCAACAGTCGCACAACATGCATTACAGAACATCACTTTACTCTATATGCATTTGTTACCTTATCACTCCCCCATGTAAAGTACTTCACATGGAATCAATGAACCTAGCATAGTCCTAAGCCCATATTGGTACGTCCACCAGACAGTTTGTAAGTGCAAGGACCAGTATTTTCCAGTACTTTCAATGGTTTTGAAAATGCTGATTGGAGAATAAGAGGAATACCTGGATCGAACAAAATATCCTTGTTGGAATGACACTTCCGTCGTTCCACGATTGCGATCAGTGTATGTTTTGGATCTCTTCTTTCACTCGATCCACAATGTTCTGCGCACATGGTTGATGAAGATGCTGCAGTGTCTGTAATCCTGAGATGTGAAGTTAGGTGAAGTTTAGCATCTGTCTTGCATGTAACAATTCAGCAGGTGAACGCAGAGTAGACGAATGAGGTGTAGCGCGGTATGCTTGTAAGAATTCCCTTGTGAACTCTTTCCAACCTTTGCCTTCCAGGGAAGTAGTTAGCAACGCGTGCTTCAGAGTACGGTTAAAAGGCTCGACCTCTCCGTTGACACGAGGATAATACAGATGAAGTTCGATGCATAAATCCTCGGTTTCGCAGAAACATCTCAAACTCTCATGACATGGATTGAGAGCCGTGATCTGAGATCAGTTCCTTCGGGTTATCTTCACGGCTGAACACAGTTGAAAGAAAGTGAATGACAGCTGAATAGGTTACCTGAGGCATGAAAGCAATCTCTGGCCACTTAATCTTTGTCACTGGATCTTTGTCAAAGGGCCCCACATTGTCTAAAGCACATTTCTCCCATGCTCCATCTGGAAGGGGTACAGGATATAGTGGCGAAGTGCGAACGACCGCTGACTTGTCATGTGTTTGACATGACACGTAATGCATGATTTGATGGCTGTCTCAACCTGGGCATCCATACCCGGCCACCAATACAGTTCTCTGAGTCTTTGCTTGGTTCTAACAATGCCTTGATGTGTATAATGGTCCAATGCAATGAACTGCACACGCAAAGTCTCTGGTACTAAAAAGTCTGTGTGTGCCTCTTACCATGCAATCATCCTGAAGAGAAAGTTCATGTTGGTTTTTGTAGTATGGCAAAATATCAGGTCCTAGGCCCTTAGGGGATTTTGGCTATTTGGTCATCAGTAGGTCACGTAGCTCACAGTATATTGGGCAGGTAGCCCTGAATTCATCAGCAGAAATGGCCGTGAGGGTTGAAGAAAGTACCACTTCCACGTCATCCTCCAGCACAGGACCCCTGCTCTGTAATGGCAATTGAGACAAGCAATCAGCTGTAACATTTTCATGTCCAGGTTTGTACTAGATGTCTTAGTCAAAAGTCATCAACCTAGCTGCTTCTCCTTGTCCCTTCGAAGTGAGCAGTGTTGTGAGTGGGCTGTGGTCTGTACATAACGTAAAACGTTGCCCCCACAGGTAAGTTCTTCATTACTCCGTTGCCTACACACATCCTAACGCTTCTTTCTCAATTGTGAGTACTTACATTCTGCCTGTGTGAGGGTGTGTGATACAAAAGCAACAGTCTTTTCAGACCCGTCCGGGTGCATTTGGGTGAGAATGGAGCCCAGAACGTAATTAGAAGCGTCAGTTGTAACGATAGTGTGTAGCTCAGGGTCAAAAAGTGTCAATGCAGGGCTATTAATTATGAGGTCTTTCACCCGCTCAAACCTTGTCTGTGCCTCAGCCATCCATGTGAATGAAGCAGATCCCAGATTCAACGCTCTGAGGGACTCGACCACTGCAGAATAATCGGTATGAATTTTGAATACCACGATGTGAGCCCAAGGAAAGAGCGTATCAGTTGGTGGCGGAGCTTGTGAAACTGCATGGACATGAGAAGCATCCGACAGAAGTCCTTTAGCTTATATTACGTGTCCTAAGAATGACAGCTCCGTCTGTCTGATTTGGCATTTGTCAAAGTTCAATTTAAGTCCAGCTGCTTACAGACGCTGAAGTGCTGCGTTCAAGTTCTTATCATGTTCCTCAAAGGTCTTTCGCCTGAGACAATGACGTCGTCCAAGTAACATTGAACACGTGCAAGTCCTTTGAGTATGGTCGACATCAGTCTCTGAAAACAACTCAGCCCTGATGCCAGTCCAAGGCAGTATGCTGTTTTGAACCACACCTGTAACACATTTTCCCTTAGTATGTAAGTGAGCGCATCGCCATCGCTCCTTGTAATGTCTGTGCATTTTTCCCCGTTTCGTGGCTGGGTCTGTTGTGCTAATGACGTGACTGTTGGATAACTTGTACTTCGCCATCTGCCAGTTTGCTCATCACGATTGCCTCAGCCTCTGCCGTTTCTATTTGGCTGCCAATTGTGACAGCTTTTTTCAAAGTAAGATCCACTTCTAGGAGTGAACGTTCCCGTATGCGGTTTGAATGATTTTTTTCAACAAGTTGATCCCGTATCATTTCCTCCTCCATGGTTCCGAATTCGCATGTAGCCGCAAGCTCCTTTAGCGCCACAACATATTGAGCCGTAGTTTCACCACGCCATTGTCCTCGCTGGCGAAATCTGTACCGTTCAGCTGCCACATTCACTTTTGGCTCGAAGAATGTGCGAATAGTTTGCAATGCCGTGTTGTACTTATCATCAGTAACCTTAAGCATGTAAAAAAGTCTCTGGCCTTCTGCCCCCAGGTAGTGAATCAGTAGAGTCCGACAGCTCTTCGTCCATGGCCAAGACATAGTTTCCGAAAACACGAATACATGCCTTAAATGGCATCGGCGGCTCACCCATATTTTGTAGAAAAGGTGTAGGCTGACTTAAAGTCCATGGCATTCTCGTGTTATGTTATGTCTTTGTAAAAAGGCAAGCAGCACACAGGTAACTTATGAACACGTATGGCACACTTATGTACACTCAAAACCTACTAGTGCCACCCACAGGACAAGTGGTGACACTACAGTACAGTATAGTCAGATGGTTATTATAGCAAGTCAAACCCCTTCAAAATCTAGAAGGATGCAAGACCTGATCGCCATCCCCGTCAGAGTTTATTTTGCGATACCAACCGGTTGACTGTGTATTATCCCTTACATAAATATACTTATTCTCACTGTGCTGAATAATGTTTCTCTGATTCAGGGGCCTGCAGAGATGTGTTGAATGAAGTTTCTGAATCAGCAGATGGGAAGAAAAAATCAGCAAATGTTCCTTTAAGGGGAAAATGATACTTGTCATTGAGGTTTATTAATACTCATAGAGCTCTGGCATAGAAAATAACTGACTGAATCATGTGTTGAGAAAACAACAGCATATTTAGCTGGTCTGTGTGAATGTTTGAACATTCTGAATCTTCACTATCACTGAGCAGGGACAGGCATTCTGAATGAGTACAAACAGAACACAAGAATTAGGGGTTTTCCAGATATTTGGGTCTAATCATTCTTTTTGCCACTAAATGAAGAATCTTTTTCTACACTCTTTGGGATAATTAATATTTAAAAAATTATAAAACGTTTGATTTTTCTTCTATCTTTCATCAACATCAAAGGCAAAATACTTAGCCCTCTGTGGATTTCTGAAATTCTCTCATCCATGAATTTCCTAGGGCAGAAAAAAGCAAACACGAACAAAGCCTTTGTTGCATTATTTTTTGAAAAGGTTAGGAAGAGGTAACATTATTGAATAATAGTATTTCAGACAAAACACCCCAGACTGCTGTCTGCAGTTCTGTGAGAAAGTTGAGATATGTTTGAATGCAAAGCATTTTGAAGCACACAGGCCACAACATAAAACCATGAACACTTAATCTAACAATTATTTATTTTAATTACACTGTACACTGCGAAATGTTTTCTTTTCAGCATGGATCGATTTTATGAGGAAATAGTTCACCATAAAATTCTGTCATCATTTACACTCTCTCTCTCTCTCTCTCTCTCTCTCTCTCTCTCTCTCTCTCTCTCTCTCTCTCTCTCTCTCTCTCTCTCTCTCTCTCTCTCTCTCTCTCTCTCTCTCTCTCTCTCTCTCTCTCTCTCTCTCTCTCTCTCTCTCTCTCTCTCTCTCTTTCTCTCTCTCTCTCTCTGTCATTCCAAATCTGTATGACTTTCTTTCTTCTGTGAAACATAAAAGAATAAGTTTGGAGCCCATTGATTTTCATTGTGTGGACAACCATGGTGTGGATGTATTTCTCAAAATGTCTTCTTTTGAGTTCCATAGAAGAAAGGAAATCATGCAGTTTTGGAACAACATTTTTTATTTTTAGATGAACTGTCCCTTTTAATCATAAAACGAGTTTAAAAATATGTCCTAACTTCCCTAAATACTCGACAAGCACTATGAGATGCAATCTGACAGATCAATATATAATGTCCATAATAAGATTTATTTTACTTAACATTTCTAAGTTTCTAGTGGTAAGTTTGTTACATTGTTGGTTGAATGAGTATTACAGCTGAATACCACTGTTACGCACGGAAAGTTGCACAAACAACATTTAAATAGAGCTTTAGAAGTTCATTAATGTCCTTTTCTGAGTTAAGTGAACTTAATCACGATTGTTTTACAAATGGAAGAGTGCAATGCTGACGTACATCTCCAGAGACACTGAACCTCAAACTAAGCTCATCTTATGACTGAGACATATAAAAACCCCTTATTTCACAGCAATACCAAATGGGGATTACAGATCAATGTAACTGCAGAAACGGCGTCAGCAGAAAGGTTTCCTCTCACCTCAGGGTACATCTCTCAGGATTCGTCATCAGTTTTAATAATGTGGAACAGCGTGACGTTAAACAGTACCTGGTGGCCATTGTTCCAGCCGTAAAGTGCACGATCCCTGGCGTTGTAATCCAGCATGGACATGTGAAAGTACTGGTTATGGATGGGGATGTCCATATACTCATAGGTAGAGGTTTTGGTGGAATAAGAGTAATACACCTTAGCCCCGGTCAGATGGGAGTTTGTGATGTACAGCGTGCCGCAGATCATGAAGGACTCACCTGCGTTTCGTTTGGAGTATTCAGTGTTCCAAGAGTTCAGCACCTGAATGGTCAGAGGATCCAGCCGGCTGATCACTATATTCCCTGCATTCTGATTGGTGGCGTAGATGGCCCATAAACCAAGCTCGTCTGCCATCATGTCAATGTCGGAGAAGCCGCCCCAGGTGTACGGGTAGACGTTGTGGAAGCCAGCAGACTCAAGTGCTCGTTGGGTCGTGACCCGGCCACTTTCGAACCTGTATCTGACGATGATGTTGCTCTGGTACTTGTTGTAGTACAGGGAGCCGTTGTAGACCACATGATTGGTGCCCGCCCAGTGGAACGGAAGGTTGTAGGTTCTTGACTCAATCCCAGCTACGAAGTCGCCCACCGATTTGTACTCCCTGACTATCTTGTTGTTTGTATAGCTGTCCATGTACCAAACCTGCATTAGAACGTTACAAATGCGATGAGTAACATCCGAAACTTGAAATTGAATTATATGAAAGGAATCATTTATAGAGCACAACAATAGGGATCAGGAAGTAAAAATCTCATTCATTTTCTCGATACAGAAACAGATTTTTAGCGATAAACCTTTCAAGTCACCATGTAAATGTTCTTTAGAATTTTCTATTCATCTGAAAAATCAATTTTTATCTATTTTAAGTTTAAAATATTGTTGTATTTTTATAATATAAATATTAATAATCCTTTTTTATTTCAGTAAATTATTCATAATGTATCAGGTTATCCCACCATTAAATGTTCATGTAATTTGTGCTTCAAATCAAGTTGTATATGCTGTGATTGATTTCAGAGCTGTTCATGCCTTTGAACTCTTTATTAAAGTTTTTTTTTATTTTATGAAGGAAAAATAATGAGAAAAAATAGTTCCTGGAAGCAATCCTGCTGAAAAGGCTGGGCTGAAAATGCTGCTGCAGGCATAGTTGCATAGCCATAGATTACCTTGTTGTTCTTAGGTGAAGCCTGAGGGTCTGTCATCCACGCTCCAAACCTCGTTCCCGATGTCTTTACGGTGATGGGCCCTGTGATTTTCATCAACTTACCACAGGCTGACAAAATGGAGAATGATAAAGAATATCGTCTGTTATGTAGACATCTACAACCTAAGAGTATTTTCAGTCTGAATACACATACCATGCCATATATAAGAAGAAAATACCATCAAAGTCAAGTTGAGTTTCAAACTCACTGAGCTTGTTCATGCAGTTCCTCAGTCTTCCCTCCAAGCCAAGGACCCTCTGCTGGAGTTCCTCATAATCATATGCTCCTATCTCCTCCTGGATAGCAGTCAGCACCAGAGACAGGTTCCTGATCTCCAGCTTGAACTGGGAAATGAGCGTGGCATCAGTCTTATACTGCTCCAGCACTGGAATCAGCGGCTGCAGTTCATTCATCTTCCCCTTCAGCTCCTGAAAAAAACAGACGGACATTTAAATGGGAATCACATGGGGGGAGATTTGCTTACATGGGGTTCTTCGGGTCAAAAATGACCCAAAGCGTTTAAATAAAAAAATGTTAAAAATCGTAGCTTCATCGGAATGGTCCAAAACTTGGTGACTTTATTGGTACTTGCTATATGAACACCCAAAAAACAAATGGGGACAGGATTTGAAAAGTCTAAGTGGTCATAAGAAAAATAGTCACACTCAGGGTCTTCGGGTCAAAAATGACCCCCATAGGAAATGAATGGGAAATTGGTAAAAATGTGAAAATACAGAGTTTTTTTGTGCATAAAATCTACAAAACAGCCAGGATGCAGAAAAAAAGCACACAACAGTGAAGGGGTGAATCTCTTAAAACAATGGGTGACAATTTTTTTTCCATTTGTTCTCTTTATAATGCAATGTTCAGGTTTGACTGTATTATAAAGTAAAACTGCCACTTAAAATTACCATTTAAACCAACCAAAATTGTTTTGTTTTTTTATTAAAAAAAATGACAAATATAGTCTTTGAGAATCTGTTATTATATATTCAAATCAAAAACCTGAAAAAATTAAACAATATGTGAAAAAATCACTAGAGTTTTTTTACCATAGGTTTCTACAGAGAGCTGTAAATCCACTAGTGGTAAAAATGTGCTATTGCGTGATAAAAATGCTCAGTGTGTCCACCAGATGGCTCCGATCTCATTTCAAAAATTGCTTTCATGAGGTCTAGACTTGACTCTAAAATGAAATACAGCTTTAATTTTTTTTTTTTTAAATTATATATATATATATATATATATATATATATATATATATATATATATATATATATATAAATTTTCTATTATATTCAATGGGAAAAAATGGGTCTTAATTATTGCATAAATATTAATTATAAATTATAAAATTATCTCAAAACACCAAAAAAGAAAAGAAAAAATATTATTGAACAAAAATATATTTCATTGATTTTACTCAAATAAAATGTATCTTAATGCTGCCCTCCGGGTCATTTTTGACCCGAAGGTCCTGAGTGTGAGTCTAAAATGAGGAACCCCAGAGGGTTAACAGAAACAGATGTAAGAGCACAGCACAGCTCACAAGAAGTTCTGGACCACAACATATTAGACCGCAATGGTATTACTGCCTGGAAATGAAACATGACCTTTACAGGTTTACAGGATTTCCAAGAATGTTGAATTGCGTGTGGCCTTTTCAAGAAGCTTTTAAGCGGGAAATGACTCTTCATTCTCGGAGAGTAATGGCAAGAGTTTGGCTTTTTCAAACCGTTCTGTTCATATGAGAAAGGATCATTGATTTTCTCTGAGGCATGACTTTAATGGTAGCCCACCTGAAAGTTTTTAGTCAATAACGTTCTTCGGTTCGACTCGATTTGTCTGAACTTTGATCGGAGTCCTTTCATCTGGCTCTCCATTTTCATGACATACTGGAAATCCCTCTGGGTCCTCAGGTTCAGCACTTCGATTGATTGCGACATGTTCTGAATCTTAAGAGAGGAAGATGAAGTTAGGATCCGTTAATCATTCTTTGAACTGCACAAAAGGAAGATGCGATATATTTAAATTATATTTCCAGCTGGTCTAAATCAGCCCTGACACTGTGTCTCCAAGGAATTCAGCATTTCCATAATTCAACTCAACACAACCAAAGCAAAGACAGATAGATCTCAGAGACAAACCACCACCGACACGTTTAAAAAGGGAGAAAGAAGTGACTGTATCGGTTAACACTATTGTTAAATACTTTTTTTCTTCTAAATACAAATTCACTAACATCCTCCAAACAAAAAAAGACACAGAGACGTCTTATGGGCCAATAAGTTGGCCTTTTACTGTAACAGAGAAGAAAAGCGTAGGAAGTAGGAACGATAGACTGCGGTCACGCCATCTGTGCTTCAGAAAAGCGCGGTCACGCCATCTACGCTTAAAAATAGATTGCGCGTCTACACGAGGTTGCGTGGTAGGCTCAAGGTGTATGCGCTTGGTGTCGGCAGACTTTTTAAAAAATATTTATAATAAAATCAATAAAATCTAATTGTTTTCTGCAAATTCCACCAGATTATTGTTCTACATCTCACTGACTACCACTGTGGTGATTTTCATGTTGATCTACTGTTTTATTATTTAATAATTGCCTCCCAAAATCCTATACTGTATACCTTTTTATACAGCAATATTTAATAAATTCATAAAACTTTTAAATCAAATTGTTTTCTGTAAACTCCACCAGATTATTGTTCTTCATCTCACTGTCTACCACTGTGGTGATTTTCATATTGATCTACTGTTTTATTATTTAATAATTGCCTCCCAAAATCCGCTGCTGTATACCTTGTTATACAGCAATATTTAATCAATTCATAAAAAATGCAAATCAAATTGTTTTCTGCAAATTCCACCAGATTATTGTTCTACATCTCACTGTCTACCACTGTGGCGATTTTCATGTTGTTTTACTGTTTTATTATTTAATAATTGTCTGCCAAACTCATGAATATTTACATTGCTATACAGCAATATTTAATAAATTAATATTAAATCGAAATCAAATTGTTTTCTGCAAACTCCACCAGATTATTGTTCTTCATCTCACTGTCTACCACTGTGGTGATTTTCATATTGATCTACTGTTTTATTATTTAATAATTAACTGTCAAAGTTCTATACAGTATACCTTGTTATACAGCAATATTTCATAAATTCATAAAAAATTTAAATCAAATTGTTTTCTGCCAATTTCACCAGATTATTGTTCTTCATCTCACTGTCTACCACTGTGGGGATTTTCATATTGATCTACTGTTTTATTATTTAATAATTAACTCCCAAAGTCCTATACAGTATACCTTGTTATACAGCAATATTTAATAAATTCATAAAAATTTAAATCAAATTGTTTTCTGCCAATTTCACCAGATTATTGTTCTTAATCTCACTGTCTACCACTGTGGTGATTTTCATGTTGATCTACTGTTTTATTATTTAATAATTGCCTCCCAAAATCCTATACTGTATACCTTTTTATACAGCAATATTTAATAAATTCATAAAAAATTTAAATCAAATTGTTTTCTGCAAATTCCACCAGATTATTGTTCTTCATCTCACTGTCTACCACTGTGGTGATTTTCATATTGATCTACTGTTTTATTATTTAATAATTACCTGCCAAAATCCTCTACTGTATACCTTGTTATACAGCAATATTTAATCAATTCATAAAAAATGCAAATCAAATTGTTTTCTGCAAATTCCACCAGATTATTGTTCTACATCTCACTGTCTACCACTGTGGTGATTTTCATGTTGATCTACTGTTTTATTATTTAATAATTGCCTCCCAAAGTCCTATACTGTATACCTTGTTATACTGCAATATTTCATAAATTCATAACATTTTTAAATCAAATTGTTTTCTGCAAATTCCACCAGATTATTGTTCTTCATCTCACTGACTACCACTGTGGTGATTTTCATATTGATCTACTGTTTTATTATTTAATAATTAACTCCCAAAGTCCTATACTGTATACCTGGCTATATAGCCATATTTGATAAATTCATAAAAATAAAAATAAAAACATTGTTTTCTACAAACTCCACCAGATTATTGTTCTTCATCTCACAGACTACCACTGTGGTGATTTTCATATTGATCTACTGTTTTATTATTTAATAATTGCCTCCCAAAGTCCTATACTGTATACCTTGTTATACAGCAATATTTAATAAATTCATAAAAAATTTAAATCAAATTGTTTTCTGCAAATTCCACCAGATTATTGTTCTTCATCTCACTGTCTACCACTGTGGTGATTTTCATATTGATCTACTGTTTTATTATTTAATAATTACCTGCCAAAATCCTCTACTGTATACCTTGTTATACAGCAATATTTAATAAATTCATAAAAAATGCAAATCAAATTGTTTTCTGCAAATTCCATCAGATTATTGTTCTACATCTCACTGTCTACCACTGTGGTGATTTTCATGTTGTTTTACTGTTTTATTATTTAATAATTGTCTGCCAAACTCATGAATATTTACATTGCTATACAGCAATATTTAATAAATTAATATTAAATCGAAATCAAATTGTTTTCTGCAAACTCCACCAGATTATTGTTTTTCATCTCACTGTCTACCACTGTGGTGATTTTCATATTGATCTACTGTTTTATTATTTAATAATTAACTGTCAAAGTTCTATACAGTATACCTTGTTATACAGCAATATTTCATAAATTCATAACATTTTTAAATCAAATTGTTTTCTGCCAATTTCACCAGATTATTGTTCTTCATCTCACTGACTACCACTGTGGGGATTTTCATATTGATCTACTGTTTTATTATTTAATAATTAACTCCCAAAGTCCTATACTGTATACCTTGTTATACAGCAATATTTAATAAATTCATAAAAAATTTAAATCAAATTGTTTTCTGCAAACTCCACCAGATTATTGTTCTACATCTCACTGACTACCACTGTGGTGATTTTCATATTGATCTACTGTTTTATTATTTAATAATTGCCTCCCAAAGTCCTATACTGTATACCTTGTTATACAGCAATATTTAATAAATTCATAAAAAATTTAAATCAAATTGTTTTCTGCAAACTCCACCAGATTATTGTTCTTCATCTCACTGACTACCACTGTGGTGATTTTCATATTGATCTACTGTTTTATTATTTAATAATTAACTCCCAAAGTCCTATACTGTATACCTGGCTATATAGCCATATTTGATAAATTCATAAAAATAAAAATAAAAACATTGTTTTCTACAAACTCCACCAGATTATTGTTCTTCATCTCACAGACTACCACTGTGGTGATTTTCATATTGATCTACTGTTTTATTATTTAATAATTGCCTCCCAAAGTCCTATACTGTATACCTTGTTATACAGCAATATTTAATAAATTCATAAAAAATTTCAATCAAATTGTTTTCTGCAAATTCCACCAGATTATTGTTCTACATCTCACTGTCTACCACTGTGGTGATTTTCATGTTGTTTTACTGTTTTATTATTTAATAATTGTCTGCCAAACTCATGAATATTTACATTGCTATACAGCAATATTTAATAAATTAATATTAAATCGAAATCAAATTGTTTTCTGCAAACTCCACCAGATTGTTGTTCTTCATCTCACTGACTACCACTGTGGTGATTTTCATATTGATCTACTGTTTTATTATTTAATAATTAACTCCCAAAGTCCTATTCTGTATACCTGGCTATATAGCCATATTTGATAAATTCATAAAAAAAAAAAAAATCAAATTGTTTTCAGCAAACTACACCAGATTATTGTTCTTCATCTCACTGACTACCACTGTGGTGATTTTCATATTGATCTACTGTTTTATTATTTAATAATTACCTGCCAAAATCCTCTACTGTATACCTTGTTATACAGCAATATTTAATAAATTCATAAAAAATGCAAATCAAATTGTTTTCTGCAAATTCCACCAGATTATTGTTCTACATCTCACTGTCTACCACTGTGGTGATTTTCATGTTGTTTTACTGTTTTATTATTTAATAATTGTCTGCCACACTCATGAATATTTACATTGCTATACAGCAATATTTAATAAATTAATATTAAATCGAAATCAAATTGTTTTCTGCAAACTCCACCAGATTATTGTTCTTCATCTCACTGTCTACCACTGTGGTGATTTTCATATTGATCTACTGTTTTATTATTTAATAATTAACTGTCAAAGTTCTATACAGTATACCTTGTTATACAGCAATATTTCATAAATTCAAAACTTTTTTAAATCAAATTGTTTTCTGCCAATTTCACCAGATTATTGTTCTTCATCTCACTGTCTACCACTGTGGGGATTTTCATATTGATCTACTGTTTTATTATTTAATAATTAACTCCCAAAGTCCTATACAGTATACCTTGTTATACAGCAATATTTAATAAATTCATAAAAAATTTAAATCAAATTGTTTTCTGCCAATTTCACCAGATTATTGTTCTTCATCTCACTGTCTACCACTGTGGTGATTTTCATGTTGATCTACTGTTTTATTATTTAATAATTGCCTCCCAAAATCCTATACTGTATACCTTTTTATACAGCAATATTTAATAAATTCATAAATTTTTTAAATCAAATTGTTTTCTGCAAATTCCACCAGATTATTGTTCTTCATCTCACTGTCTACCACTGTGGTGATTTTCATATTGATCTACTGTTTTATTATTTAATAATTACCTGCCAAAATCCTCTACTGTATACCTTGTTATACAGCAATATTTAATAAATTCATAAAACATTTAAATCAAATTGTTTTCTGCAAACTCCACCAGATTATTGTTCTACATCTCACTGACTACCACTGTGGTGATTTTCATATTGATCTACTGTTTTATTATTTAATAATTGCCTCCCAAAGTCCCATACTGTATACCTTGTTATACAGCAATATTTAATAAAT